GCCAAACATGTTTTTTTGGAGCATGCTAATCCTTGGGTTTGACTTCTAGAATTCACTTTAAATACTTGATATTCCTCAGACAACTCGTGTGGCACAGACAGAAGGTCAGGAATGCACTGCCTGCTGTGTGATCTCAACCTACATTGCTCAAGTTTAGAAGCAGAGCTCTCCCTTCAGAGGGAAAATGAACAAGGACATATACAAACAGCTGAAAAATTATATACAGTTGGGAGAGGGAGATTTTTCCTGCAGGATTATCATAGCCTAAATATTTCTTTAAGCTGTACCATCCCAGTAGTTGACCCAATATTGTTGGAGATGATGCAGTTACTTAAAAATAGAATAATCCAGCTCCACAAGTGATGCAGAACAAGGCTGTCTAAAGTCTGGACCTGAACAAAATGGATTTCAGAGCTTTTTTTTTTCCTCCCTCTGTATTATCTGCTGGTGTCAAACATTTAATGAGGAAAAGGCTGTTGGTCACCATGAAACTGGGAGAGCTCCTGCAGCCTGGTTTCTTATGGAAAAAGAATGAGTCAAGGAAGTGGGAGAGGAAAAAAAAGGTGCAAGACCGTACAAACACATTTTGCCAAGGAAAACACAGCAGCAAAAATAGTGCTGGGAAGTTCTGGGAGGCTGACATCACCCATTGCTGCTGCCTATTGTCATGAAATAATTCAGATCCCAGCCCTGGTTAAGGTGACAGCCACCACAGCCACCTCCCAGTGATCCCACCTGGGCTCAGCAGCATCCTGCAGGCTTTAGATAGATTTACACCCCAATATTGATTGAAAACTCAATCAATATATCCCTGAGATGCATTTAGAGCTTGTTTTCCTTCATGCCCACAGACTTTTATCCAGCCAGCCATGTGCTGTTCCATGTGTTTGTCCAAGCCTGGGACACATCAAAGCTTTCAGGACCTTGAGTGTGGACTCACAGCATCCCTTCAATTAAGGAATTGGTTTTCCTGTGCTCAGCAGAGCTAAATGGAGAAGAGATTGTAGAATAAAGGCTCCTGCCCCCATTTTCCATCTCAAAGCTTTACTCTTCACTCTCCAGAAGCAGTTTGTGCCTATCCTTAGATCCTGTGTTGCAAGAATTATGATTCAGCTTCACTCCAGGAGGATCAGATTTCAACAGTTGCCTCATTTGAAATCAGGCTGGCGTGGAGACAATTTGGAGGGGTTTGTGTGGCAACAGAGAAAAGGCAAGAAAAATACACAGGAAACACAAGAATAGGAGAGTTCCTGTCACTTTGCAGAAAATGAGATTTGTTCACTTGAGGAAATCACTGTCCAGGCTGCTCTGGGGAGGGACAGGGCAAGGGCCACCAGCAAAATGAGCAACTTCTGAACCTCCAGAGCAGGAAACTTCACCCAGAGGCTGTGACAAATCAGGATTTTATTGATTTACTGAGATTTTTACTGATTTTACTAAGAGCGGTGGCAGCATGAAGCCTGCACAGTCTCTTTCTGGGATGTTTGTAACTTCTGTTGACTTTATAATAAAGCTGCTTTTGTTCTGCACTTCAACATCTGGTCTAATGCATTTAATTCCTCTGTGCTTTTGGAAAATATGCTGTGGTCAGTGAGCATGTTTAATACATTGCTAAAATATGTCACATGCACAGAGCAGGACTTGCCTCCACTGCTCTCCACCTAATGGCCAAATCCTTGGAACCTGACAGCAAAAGAGTAATTAACAACATCTCTGGAGCATGGAAAATTCCTACTGCTTTTTTGAACAAGTAAAAACAAGCTGATTTTTTTCAGTCAGCTGTGATAACCAATAACTACTCTCTTTTGGGAATTACCCCAACCCTACATCCACAGGCTTGTTAAAAATTAGCTCTGTGCACAGGGCTTCCCATGGGCCACACAGCTCCTCCTGAACTTTGGAATAAAAATGGAATTTCTTGAATTTCCCTTTGCTACCAGCAGAGGATTGCCAGCAAAACAAAACAGTGAAAAGCAATTTTAACTCGTGACCTTTTTTTAACCACTTTGCTACAGGGATTAGGAGATAAAAAATGCCCAACCTTTATTTTAATTTCTTTTGTTCAAATGGTGTTAAAAGCATTACTAAAACCTGACTGCATTCTAGGAACAGAGGGACAGAAAGCAACAGATCTCTCTTGGAATTTTAATTGTATGTAACCCAAGAATCTGTGTTTATCTCTGACCAGTGAGATCTGTCAGTGCCTCAATACCTGTGAACAAGCCTGACTGCAGCTTCCAGCACAGCAGCAGATCCTGAGCACAGGGAAAGCCCCCAGTTCCCAAAGTTACCTCCAGTTAAAACAACTCCCCATCTGTGGAAACAGCTTTGAACAGCCCTAAATCACTGGTCAAAACAGGAATAAAAAGCACAATTCAGAGCATGTTACAGTTGCTGGATTTCACAAGGGCTCCACATCCTTCTGTCAGAACCCACCTGTATTTTTTTCTCTACTTGCACAAGGCAATTTTTTCAACTTTATTTTATAAAAGAAAAGCCCAGATAGAGCACAGATCCCCAAAACATTGATGCCAGCAGGCACAGAACTTCACAGTGCCACTACTTTCATTTGGAAGCAATGTCCACGTGCTTTACCCCACTTTACCACAGATATGTACACAGGGACAAAGGGGTTTAGCCTGGAGAAAGAGCAGGAACAAATTTGAGGAATTTTGATAAAAAAAAACAAGAGTTTTTTGGTTTCAACAACTTGAGTATTGCAGCACAGATCCAGCACCTGGGCTAGTGGAAGGTGTCCCTGCCCATGGAATCACACAATCTTTAAGGTCCTTTCCAATCCAAACCCTTCCACAATTTCTGATTTAATGCCTGACAGTGCTCCCACAGCGAGCTGGGCCCCTGAGGTAAAAGCAAAGGTTGGTGCAGATCTCAGGCTGACACTGCTGTTAGAAATTCATGTCCTGAGGCAGCACAATCCTGAAATCCCTGCCAGGTACCTGACAAGTCTCTGCACGAGCTGTGCAAACATTGCAGCTCCACATCCAGGAGCACACACACTGCCCCTGAGAGATCCAGCAGAGTGCTCCTCTCTCCCTGCCTCCCTCCCACGCAGCAACTCCAACATTTGATGCCAAAAGTGGTGGATTAAGGAAAACAGTCACTGAGAGCTTCCAGGTCCCAGCTACTACAACCCCAGTCGCTGTTCAGCTGTGGAGAGTAAATTAAATTACTGACATGTCTCCAAATGAGGATTAAAACATTGCCTGGGTTAATACAAACTGTCTCCAATCCAGCTAAGCACAACAAATACTGCACCTTTCTCATTTTTCTTTTCTTTCGCATGTTTCAGCTCCAGCCTTTTTAACTGAGACACTTCCAGCTCCAGGGCTTTGCCAGGAGAGGAATGCTGACCTTGGGCAGCTCATTACTCCTGGGGAGAAATCCTGTCCTGTCAAGCTGCCTGAAACCAGGCTCACTAAAAAATAACAGCATGAAAACCAAGCATCCCGTGCTTCCATGACAATTTTGTGTGCTCCAGGTTAAAAAGTTGGTGGGTCCTGCCAAATTAAGAGCTGTGTTTGCTATGAAAATGAGGAATATAAGTCAGGAACAGTGGATTCAGGTGGCAAATAATCCTAAATTGCACTCCAAGCTGAAGAAAGAGAACTCCAACACATCAAGGAGAATTGAACACTGCTGGTGAAGCAGAATATCAGTATTTGTTCCACAGCCCCTTTTCCCAACCCTCACTGAGGCAGTCTGTAAATTCAACTGAACACCAGGCAGGTATTCTATAAGAGAAAAACAGATCAGAGCAAAACCTAATTAATTTTCACAGCGTACCATGACTAATCTTAGCATATATGGTACTGGAATAGCAATCACTGAGTACAAATGAAAACAGTCTTGAACCCTGTCCTATTTTTAATCAGATGAAAGCCACAAACCCAGCCATGCTTCTGCTTAGTGCTGCGTTTTCTTCTACCCTGATGGTTTTTACAGCTGGAGAAATGGCTCCTTGCAGCATTACTGGGCTGTAAAAAATGACTGCTCCTTCCACTTCTGGGATTACAGGGGAGTGTGTCACTGGGAAGGAGGCAACCCAACATTTCCTGGGACTTTTAACCCTTCTTGAGCTTATCACATCCTCTGAGTGAAGATGTGCTTTGAAATTATTGAATTTTTCTGGTATCAAACTGTATTTGCAAAGTTCTGTAGAAAGCCAGTGGAAGAAAAGAGAACAAATTCCAAATTAAAAAATGTAGATGGTGCCTGACAGTATTTTAATGGTACTGGAAGGCAACATATGAGGGCAGATATTTTTCCTGATTAATTCTGCCCTACAAGGCTCACAAAAGCTGTTCTGCACAAAGAGCAGCTCCCAGTTCAAAGACTTTCCTCATTACCAGTGATCTTTAAAATGCATTAAATAAAAGTACTGTTAGTCACATTTTAGCCTGGACATTTTCATATTTGCAAAGAGAGCCTGGAGTGTGCAAATGGAATAATTAACCCTGATTTGCTAAGGCCAGTTTTTAGCCAGGTCAGTATGCAATACAGCATTAGAAAAAGCAGATTTATTTTGTAACAGAGAAAGGTGCAAGATCTCTGTCCTATCTTCCACTTCTCTTCACTCAGTTCATACTTGGAAAGCAAGAGAAAGGTGGAAGTGGCAGCCAAACTGTTTAAATGCCTTTCCCCTTTGATAAAACAAGAAATATTTCTTGCTTTACCCAAGAAATAACCTGCTGAGAGGTGCAATGTCCAAGATACCTACTCTTGAGAATATTTCTTGAAAACAAAGCTGGCATTTCAAAAGGAGGTATCTCAAAAACCTTCTTGTTTATTTCCTAATGGAAAAATCAGGATATTCCTCTTTCACTGACCATTTCTCCCTGACACTCAATCTTCCTACAAATTTCTGTGTAACTTTGCTCAAGCCAGAAGTGAAGCAGCAAAATTCCAGCCTCCAATCCCAATGAAAATAAAACTGAGCATCACCAAGGACCTGAGGCAGCAGCACAAGGAGAAGGACAAACCTTTGGAGTGTTTCCCTGAAGGCCTCTTGGGTAGTGACTCCTCCATGGAATGTGTGGATGTGTGGAGCACATTTTCCAAGCTGTTACTGACACTGTTGATGGGGGTCTCAGACCTTGGAGTGACCTGGAAGGAAAAGTACAAAAACCCATTAAAATAAACACAGGGAACACACAAACATCACACCTCCTCTGGAGTGAGGGATCCCCTGGGAAGGCACTCAGGAGAAGTTGGTTTCTCTCAGAGCTGAGGGTGTTACTCCTGATATTCCCCAAGTAACAGTTCAGGGAAGTGCTTTCAGTCAGCAGCTATTCACAAACGGAGATTATCTTGGCTAATCTAAAAAGCTCCTTACAGCATAATTCTTTTTGAAACAATACTCACCCAGCAGTCAATTGCAGAGAGATTGCAAGACCTTTAACCTCTGCACACCACACATTTTAACTTTTCCACAAGAAAACTGGGGAAAAGGGCTCCTGGAAAATGTCACTTTTACATTATGACACTGTGCTGGTTTTGGGTGGGGTAAATTAATTTTCTCACAGTAGCTGGTGTGAGGCTGGTTGGGATTTGTGCTGGAAGCTGTGGAGAACTCGGGGATGTTTTGGTCACAGGGCTGACACAGCTGAGGCCTTTTTGGGTCCTTATTCCACCCCACCAGCACAGAGCCTGGGGGGACACAAGGGTTTGGGATGGGACACGAGGGGTTTGGGGTGGGACACGAGGGGTTTGGGATGGGACACAGGGGGTTCGGGGTGGGACATGAGGGGTTGGGATGGGGACACGAGGGTTTGGGACGGGGCACGAGGGGTTTGGGATGGGGCACGAGGGGTTTGGGATGGGACACAGGGGGTTCGGGGTGGGGCACGAGGGGTTTGGGATGGGGCACGAGGAGTTTGGGAGGGGGACACGAGGGGTTTGGGGTGGGGGCACGGGGGGTTTGGGAGGGGACACGCGGGGTTTGGGGTAGGGACACTGGGGGTTTGGGGTGGGACACAGGGGGTTTGGGGTGGGGCACGAGGGGTTTGGGAGGGGACACGAGGGGGTTGGGACGGGTCATGGGCAGCCAGCTGGGCACAGCTGCTCCAAGGGATATTCCAGGCCTGTGGCATCATGCTCAGTATGGAAAGCTGGGGGAAGAAGGAAGCAGGGGACATTCAGTGACCCCAATATTCTTCCCCAGTCACCATGACCTGTGAGGTTCCCTGGCATGGCTAAACTCTGCCCATCCATGGGGAATTGGTTCCTTTGCTTGGCTTGAATGTGTGGCTTCTGTTTTCCCAATTAAATTGTCTTTATTCTATGCCAGGATGCTCCCCTGGCATTGGGATGGGAGAGAGTGGGAAGAGGGAAGTGGCTCCATGGGGCTCCATCGCCTCTCCAGAGATGAGACTCAAGGCATTTCCACAACAAATTGCAATGAAAAATTCTCAGCAAAACCCTGATTTTCTTGTCTTTGCCATTTAATAACCTTTCATTATCATATTTCAATGGAAACTTCTACACTAGCAATGCCCAAGCAGAAGGTTGAAACATCAAAACAAAAAAGGGTTTAAAAACCTTGGAAAGGTGCTTTAAAGAGGGAGTTGAGACCAACAAAAACACTCCCAGTACCTCCTCAGAGGAACTGTGTGACTTGAAATTCAATTGTTCCATCTGGAATCAACCTGAGCTGTAATTAGAATTCCACATGGATTTTTAGCCTGGTACAAATCACAGGAGAAAATGTTCATCTTGCCATAACAAAATGAGTTCTCCTTCACTCAGGGTAAATCAGAACCAGCAGCTCCAGGTCCCTGGAAGGGAAAAGGCTCCCTCAGACCCTGCTAACCTGACACAGTGCCCTGAGCTGGGACAATTTTGCAGAAAACAATTCTTTGCACACCCTCGTGCTCCGTGGTGCCGTCAGTCAGCACACACAATGCAAGTCAGAAACAGCACAGCCCCACTCCACACAATTACCTATTGTGAGCTCCATTTGAAGAGTGACATTTATAGATTTATACACACTTAAGGCAGTGGAACAAGTGAAAGGAAGGCTCTGTATACTTGACATCCATAAAAAAGCTTCTACGTGTAAAGAAATCAATCCAGGATGGCAGATGAGTGTCAGGAAAAAAGAGGGTTACAGGGAGCTGCTTTCCTTTTCAGCACTTCTTGACAAAAAAAATGAAGTTTATTTTATATATATAATGCAAAAAAGTTATATTTATCTAATTATACACTGTTTCTTCAGCACAGCTTCCCACCACTAACAAAACTTAACACCAAGCTTTGCCTTAGAGCAACCATTGAAGTCCCAGCTTGGCAGGAGGGTGGGCAAGAGCTGAAATTTCCTTTGCCAGAGTCAGTCTTTAGCTGGGCTTATCTGTGGGATCTCAGCACATCAGCCCTGATGTGCAGAGTCACCGAGATAACCCTTGTGGGGCTCGGAGGTCCTGGAACGTTGCCAGAAGTGTTTGGTGGCTGGACTTTGATCCTGCACAGGAGACGACACCTGTATGAGGATGGGAGGATCTCACGGGGATAAATGGTGAAGGGATAGGTTAATTATAGTGTGAAACACAGATCCACCTCAAGGGTTGGGAGTGACCATGGAGATCCACCTGAAGGGTTGGAAATGACCATGGAGGGATAGGTTAATTATAGTGTGAAACACAGGTTTTAGAATTTCGGTACAGGGGGGTCTAGAGAAACAAGATGGAGGAATTGGGGCGTGTCCTGTCCTTCTTCTTCTTCTTCTTGGCCTCCATCTCCTGTGGTGGTGGTGGCACTTTGGGATTGGTTCTTACTAAAAGTGCACTTGTCAATAAGGGTGAAAGGCATTGGGGAAAATAGGTAAATATCTTATACGTAGTTTTGGGTATAAAGATCAGTGACCGCCCCGAGGGCTCTCAGTGTGCTCATGGCTGACGTGCTGTGCTCTCTCGGGCCGAGAGAAAATCTTGTAGATAAAAATTAATAAACACTGAAGACCGAGAAAAAACCTGAAGACTCTTCTCGTCCTTTGGAGCGCGGGCTGTCCCAAGGCCTCCCCGAGCCTTTCCAGGCCATCAAAAGCAGCCGAGAACGGGACACTTATCTCACCCAGCCTCTCTCCTGGAGCTCATTGAACTCCCCCTCCAGCCCAGGGCTGCTGGGAGGAAGTTCCAGAGGGCTGAGCACCATCCTGCTGGCAAAGGGACAGCCCAGAGGAGCAGCCTGGGAAAGGAGCTGCCTTATCCTGGACAACCAGGTCCCAAATACTCAGAATAATCAGAAATACAAACACTGAGAATGATTGAAGCTGGGTAAGAGCAGCCCCACAGCTCCAGAAAACCTCTGAACAAGCAGTTTGTTACAATTTATTGCCTCTTATCTTGTATTCCCTCCTCTCTGCTCTCCTTACAACAAGCATCGCGTGCAGCTTATAATTTGCATTTTGTTTATACATAACCTCCATTTTTTTGCCATAAAGATTTAATTTTCCTAGACTTGCTGAGGATTAATTTAGCCCATATGTCTTGTCTGCCTGAGCTCGCACTATCTGATCCCGTCTCACATCAAAGCAGCTCCAAATTGGCCTAGAAAAATCACAAAGCTCTGATTAGTTCCAAATGGAGCACTTTGTTAGGGAGCTGAATGGTGTTAGAACCACTGAATCCCACTGCTTAAAGCTTCCATTCCAAATTCTGAAATCATTTTTTCCACTGACTTAAACATCACGATACTGCAAGGGTTTGGATTTGTTTAGGGGAAAGTGAAATAATGAAAAGTGGTTTGCAAATCAAAGTTCCAAAATAGTAACAGCAATTTTTTTTCTCCTTCTTTCTTTTTTTATTTTTTTTTTCCCTCAACTTGAGGCCAAGTCAAACAGAGGAACAATAACCCATCAGCTCAGGGCTGCAGGAGATATTGTCCTGGGAGGGTTGGGAGCAACACTGGGAAAAGCTTCACAGGAAGGACCTATCCAAATTCAGCTGCAGAAATTCAACATCAAGTAAATTCAGGAAGGAGAGTTCTCCATAGCTGAACACTCCTGAACCCCTGGTTTGGGCTCAGCACACACAGCTACTCAGGACAAACTGGATTTGGGATAAAGAATGAGGCATTCCAGAGAGATAAGGGTTTGGAGGAGCAGGGAGCAAATTGCTTTGGACCTTGTAGGAGCTGTAACATCTCTGAGAAAGCCAAGATGCCATTTAGGAATAAACATCTGCAGCTCCAGAACTGTCCAAGGCTTGTTTTCTGAGGCACTAACAGGCCACAGAGAAGATGGATAAGTTGGCATCATGGGAACCAGGAATGTTCAGGCCATACATCATAACAAACCACAGGAGTGACATTTTATAAAAGCAGGAAAAATCCCCATGAATCATTCAAGGTCTAAGAAAAAACAGCATTAGACCTTTGAATAAAAGACTGGATTTTTCTACAGAAATTGCTTGAGAACATCAGCAGAAACAGTCCACATAGAACAATCAAAGCTAGCAGCAGAGTTAAATATTCTGCCTGATTTTACCCCAGCACAGCATTCCCAGGGAGAAGGAAAACCCTGTGCTGCACCTCTCCAGAGCTTCACTGCTCTGCTCAGGAGTTCCTTCCACACCTCAGTGGCCTGGAGGCTCCTTCTACACCTCTAAAAGCTGAAAGTGGGTGCAGAAAAGATTCTTAAAATTATTTTTACTCCATTTTATTGTTGCATCTTTCACTGGAGCACGCTGATCTAGAGGAAGGTGCTGCTGCCCAGGCTGAGGTTTGGAATGAGATGAGCTTTGAGTCTCTCCTAACCTTGATCATCCTGGGACCCTTTGATCTGCTCCCTCCACAGCAAAGCATCTGCCTCACAGATGGACTTCTCATTTTCCAGATGCAAACCCTGCTGTCTCCTGCATCTCAAGTTAAAGCAGAACTGAAAATAACAAAGAAAATTGATCATTGCTTAGAGACTGAGGCTCAGAGAGAATTCTTCTGTGCCTCACTCTCCACTGCAATGATGACAGGATCAAAATTGGTACCAGCTACTGAAAAGTATCTCTTTGTATCTTCCCACCACAGATTATTCAGCAGGATCTGAATGCTGCCCTGGAGTCCTCCATCCCCAGGAGTTACCAGCCAGAGAAACAATTGCTCTGACCCAGGGGTTG